GAACAAATACATAAGTATGTAGTGTTGATATCTTTCTGCTCTGGGTTCAAAGCCAAGAAAACAACTTAAAAAATAACTAATCATTTCCGTTCCAGCCTGAATTTTTTTTTTAAATATAAAGAGATCCATCCAGTTGACCAAATACATGAAGGGCTTCTTTCAACTGGTGAAAGACTTCAATCTTCCAACTGAATGACAAAATGCATAAATGCAAACTTTTGAGTCAACCATTTATTGCAGTTTGGGCAGTTGTTGTGATATGCATATTGCACAGGCTATTATTGCGATGAYGGTAAAATTTCGATATATTGTGTAGCCCTAGGTCTCACTGTTGTGTTTGGGGATCCAACAGTCTGTTGGTTATAAGCTGTTTATAAATCATAAACAGTACGTCTGACTCTGGTTCTAAATCCCAGGTCACAGAGATCCCTATGTCAGCTCTACACATCTTCAAGCCGCGAGCTTTCTCTCACACATACCAAATGATCTGCTCAGTGACTACCACCCATGGCTACTCAGATGCTGGTTGACGTCACGCTGCCTTGATTCTTTTATAAATCACATCAAGGCAAGAAGAAAGCATGAACGAGGCTTGAAAGTCATGTTCTTTAGAAATAGCATGCCCCCCCCACCCCGCCCCACCTTATAGCCATTTGAGTTTTTAACATGATGAGCCTCGAGTCTTAAAAATGTCACTGGCTTGACGAAAACGTGTCCCAAAGGGATGAACTCCTCCTGGATTTCTGTCTGGTTCTGCTTTGTTTTATTCACCATTGTGTGACTCATGACACCCTTCCAAGTGATTGGGTTGTGTGTTGCTAAAAATACAGCAACGTCGCCGGAGCGTAAACAGAAGCAGTTCTCACGCATAAAACATATTTAACACAATACATGTTGGCACAAGCTGGACAAAAGCTTTTGAAGATTTCACTCAGATACTGGGAGTAACGGTAAAAGGGCCGAAGAGGGAAGCAGAGAGAAGGGTCAGGCGTGTGTTTACGAGAAGTGAGGGAAAATGAAAGGGTTAGGAGKTTTGGGAGTGCAGTGGGGAAAAAAGCACAGCAGCATTTTGAAGGAAAAGGTGGGGTGGTGTTCACTAGAAATGAGAAGACAAGGGAAGAGTTCAGAGGTTAATAACAAGCTACAGTGGGAGAGGAACGAGGTCGTGAAACACAAGAGAAACTTAAAAAACTCTCAGGCTTTTCACAAGCTTTAAGATCACAGGACAATGTGCTGGCTACTAATTTGACTCATTACAGTCAATGTGCACCAATTAACCAGTTTAGGTCCTTAAATTTTAGAATACTGAATTAATTCATGTTTGTTTGGCACCATCTTTAGGACTCAAATACTTTATTACTCTGAAAAAAACCTCTGGAAGCAGCAGATTTCCTTGAAGCCATTAATGTCTGATTCAATGATTGCACACAGGCGTAAGAAGCCGAGCTGAGGAAATGTACTGAAAGTAGGGCAAGCACTGATATTTCTTTAATTTTGTGCGATTCAAAGCTATGATCACCAACTTTGTGAGGATTAGTTCCATTATTTAGGTTTCTTTTGTTGTATTTTCTTTCAGTATTTTATTGGCAAAGTTTTCGGATGAACAATAACTCATTACCACCCAAGGCTACCACAAATCCCACTTCCTTTTCATTTGTCGTCAGTGTTATTTCTATTTTTTCTTTCTTTTTCTTATGCCAAGTTCAGTTCTTTTTTTTTTCTTTTTCTTTTTTTTTCTGCTTCCACACCTGTTGTAAGACATTTTCTTCTCCCCGGAACTCCACCTAAAAAAGCTTGACTTTTCTGAGCTCCAACATCTGGAAAAACTAACCAGCATGCCAGGGCCCTCATTCCTCAGGTAATTTATAGTGACGTGCCATGTGACGGGCTCTGTAAGGGGTACGGAGACTGAACGAATGGTGGTGAAACATGAGCTCTTCTTCTGAAGTTTCAGGACTTTAAGGTTTAGTAGAAGCTGGAAGGTACAGGAACAAACATATGGCAGGACGACACCGATTAGCTGTTTGCTGGAGTAAAGTATGGCACAAAAAGGAGCATGTGATAGCAGTGTCTCAAGAACTAAAGAGAATGAATGAATGAATGGATGAATGAATGAATGAATGAATGAATGAATGAATGAATGAATGAATGAATGAATGAATGAATGAATGAATGAATGAATGAATTTATTTTTTCGGGACAGTGTACAATTAAAATATATTTTGATGCATTGCACCAGATTTAGCCTAAGGCAAATTTACATCTGTAGTCCCATCAAACAGTAAAAACAAAACAACATCCAATAGTAAAATAGAAATAAGAGAGGAAAAAACAGAAAAATAAAAACAATATAAAACTAGATACCGCAT